GGGCTGACTGACTCTAAAGAACTATTCTCATTTTATTCTGTATTGTTTTTTTTTTCAGGCTCTCAAATTATTTACTTGTTGATTTTTTTCCTGGTGGGAGTGGTTGGGATGAGGCTTATAGGCCATCATGGACCAGTAGCCGAAAACTGAAACGAGAAACTGAGTGCGACAATCTTTGACCCGAAATGTGACGTAGCCGTTTTATTTCTGTAATATTTTTACTGAAACGTTGTTTTACCCTGTTGGATGTGCTTTAGCCTGTGAAGGCTTACACAGTTACCAGATGTGAGTCCAGTGTAGCTGTGGCACATCTGGATTTCTTCTGTTGAGATTTAGGGCTGAGTTCAGGGGCTTAAATTAAAGATTTCTTTCTCCTGTGGACTCACAACGATGTGCGTAATGATCCTTCTATCAGGACTTATCTGTGGCAACCTTATCATACTCCTAATGCTGTTTTTGTGTTTGCAGCGTTGCTGCAATAATCCTATAAAGCACCTACAGGATTTACTATAGTTCCTCTTTAAGGCTGGCTGCACATAGGCTGCCCCCCCGGTCCTTTTCTTTCAAATCTGTAATCCCATTATGACATATGGTTTTCCATCAGTCTTCTCCGCTGGTGTATTTTAGCCGATAATAGGCTTGCTTTGGTTGTGCATGCATGGCGACGCATCACATGACGGACACGAGTGGATCCAGATGAGCCTGTTGCTCAGCTGTTAATGGTCCTTCCAGCAATGGACCAGTCCTCCCAGTGGGTTCACTGGAGTCGTTGTATGCATTGGACTGATGTAGTTCGTGCACTTATAAAACCTGGCGTTAATCCATTTAGGTCTGAGTCTGTTGGTTTAATAGATTTATGTAGACGGTGCCGACAAGGTTGTTACTTTATATCCTTTATTACATAAGACAGCGTGGATGTTTTTGACTTCTGCTCATCAATCGACACGATTTCCTGACAAAAAGGAGCCAGTTATTGTTCTTCACATCAGTCCTGCCACCTCCATGTGTCTGCTGTCTGGCTACAGTCTGCAAGAATGGATGTCATGTTAAAACTATTCTTGGTTTTATCCACTACGCTCTATACTCTTATCAGGGTTCGTTCTGTTTGCGGGTATCGAGCAGCGTGATGCAGCGGGACCACATCAGAGGCATTTTCAAAGTGCCAGTAATGGACTACTGTATAAATTGTAAAATTAGAGCATTTGTGTTTCTTTATAAACAATCGAAAACTTTTTTTTCCAAAGTGGCGGTCAGCGCCCTGTGAGGGAAGCCTTTTAGATGCTCTGGAAACTCCTCGCTGCATTTTCTTTCACAGTGTGCTTTCAACATCGGGGCGTGTCCGAGTGACCTGCTGCTGTTAGTGGACTGCTTTCTTCGCACAGGGAGGACGAGTGGATTAGATTAAGGTTTAGATTTAACGGCGTGTCCACTGAGCTGCGGCGTATCCGTGTGGCAGCTGCGTGTGTGTGATCTCAATGATTGGAAGTAGGGAGTCTATTATAGCAGCGCTTTGTATAATACAGCATAGACACAATAGTGTGCACTGTGCACGGGTGAAGTCGTTTAGGTCTGTGCCCGTTCTCCTTTAGAATGCAGATTATTGCTTTCCGATGTGATGCAATCACTGAATGACAGCAGCTCATGACAAAGCAGCGATAACGTCTCTGAGGGGAACGCAGGTGCTCGTCGTTGGTGCGTGTTAGCGATAGTGGATTAAGTACAGCAGTGTGTGGATGACTAAGCTCTGATGGTGTGAAGCTACAGCATGGTCCACTGTAGACTGCACTTCTGAGACAGTAAAGAGGAAGCAGGATGACGAACTGAGGAAGAACATGTTTGACTGTGCAGGGATGGGGAACTGGTTTCAGAATCATGTGAATGACTGGATTGTGTGCGTTTTTGCATAAGTACGTACACGATGTTATCTCGTGTGTAATGTTTGGGCCGCAAACTCGAGGGACCTGGTCATGTGTTAACAGCATATCACTGTGTGTGTGTGTGCGTGCACGAGGAGACACCATCTGTTTATGGGGCCTGTGTGTGTTTAGACGTGTGCAAATGTTCTCTCGCTGCCCAGCTGGCAAACTGACCTCTCCAGCAGCGTTCACTGTGAGCATGTGAGAAAACTAATTTAATGTCGGATATTTTCATATCATCAAACAGGAGCGAGGAAGAAGCCGCCGTCAGGCAAAGTGAGGAAGATATTAGAGGTTGTTCCCAGCAATGTGACTAAGTACAGCCCTCTGTCCTGTCAGAGTGGCTGTGAGTAGGCTGCACTCTGCCCTGAAAGGCTTTGCTTTGGGGGCTGCTCCTGGAAGGGCAAACTCCAGAGATGGGTGTAAGCGTACCAGGAAATGGATTAATTATTTCTGGAGATGTAAGATTTATATTTTATAGGTTTGCCTAATGACCTAGCAGCAGTTAAAGGATAAAATAGCAAAATCGTTGCTGAAACAAGTGGAATTTCCAGCTTCCAGTTTCAAATCATAGCGTTCAAGATCCAAACACTGCTGTTTTATAGCTGACACGCTGCGCTCGTGGACATTTTACAATGCTACCATAGCCTTTATTTATTTTTGTAAACCATGTTTTTGGCCCTCAGGTACGCAGATGTTTGAAATGACTCAAAGGGTGAGGTGTTACCAGCATGCTTGTATTTTGGTCCTTGCGTAGTCGTAAAGCCTCAGTTTAGCTGAGCTGTCATGCTTATCACACATTCTAATCACACATTGGTCTGTAAAAAGAAAAGTCATAAAGGAGGCATTCATGACATCTTTTGACACGTTATTAAATGTCTGTGTAATTTCTCTTTCAATAACTGACAGAATACAACACATGCAAGCCAAGACTGTTAAACACATCATGAGTTCAATGCACTTCATAGTCACAGAGTAACAGAGGAGGCCTGCATTGCTCACTTAATAAAGATGTCGTTGAGTAACTGACTTTTACCCAAACAGGGCAGTGACGCTCGTTTCATCATCCCTGCTTAGGAACGTTTAAAGCGGTGGGAATGTTAAGCTCGGGATCGCGACGTGCTCAAACAAACCAACATCAGTGATTATTGGTTTTTGGTGTTTTTCTGTGGAGATTTATGCAGTAAAATGGTTATTCTGAAGTAGTTCATTCAACATGAAATATCAGCTTTCAATTTTGTATTGATTTAAACTGACGTGAAGAAAATTGTGAACCAAACTTATATGAATTCATAAATCTTTATCCAGTTATTTTGATTAGAGTGTGTTTTAGCATCAAAGCAATTCAGTCAGTTATTCTCTTTGTGTGTGTGTGTTCCTGTCTAGCTATCTTTGTGAGGACCAACAGTCACTTGTGAGGACACACTCACAAGTTTGAAGGCCTTTTTGAGGCTCAAAATGTGGTTTTAGTGTCAGGGTTACAGTTAGGTTTAGGGTCAGGCATTCATTTGTAATGGTTAGGGGCTGGGGAAACCATTATGTCAATAAAGGTCTTCACTAAGATAGCTAAACAGGCTTGTGTGTGTGACATACAATGCCTCCTTTTCTGTATTTCCCTCTCGTCTTTATCTCTGGCTTTCTCAGTCTGTGTATATGTGCGCTTGTGTCTTGCTGACACGATCGGAGGCGACCGGCCGAAGGGAGAACAAACGGCGTCCGTCCCTCGCGGCTGCGCTGCTTCCCACAGGCTGTTCCCACCGTGTGTGTGTGGTTTCTCTCTCTAGAACACAAGATAATTGGGTTTAAGCCTCAGAAGAGGAGAATAGAAGGGGGAAGGGAAGCAAAACTGAGGGAAAAAGGTGGTGGTGTTTTGCTCAGAGAGGCAAAGGAGCGTTATAGATGGAAGGAGGCAGAATTTAATGAAGGCAAAAAATACCCAGCGCATAGAAACGGGGCAAAGAATTGCAGTCTGCAAACAGGGGATAGAAAAGACTGAAATTACAGGAGAAAATAGAAAGTGTGACAGTGATGGAAACAAGGATGAAGTAGGAGAACAAGAAAGGAAAGAGGGAAGAACACAAAGAGCAAGGAGGAGAGTCCCAGGGACAACA